TGTGGTGTGGTGTGGTGTGTGTGTGTAGTGTGGTACAGCTACAAGACAAGGGCTGGGGACAAGGGCAGGGGCAGGAGCTGAGTGGAGGGCAGCTAGAAGGGTGGGGCTGAGGGGTTCCCTGGGAGCATGGTGTCTTGGGCCAAACCCCACCCCTACACACACAAGGCCCACCAGCACCTATACCCTCTGGGGGCTCTCGGGCTACCAGCCAGAGTTTGGCCTGTGGCCTGAGGTCCCTCCCCTGCTCCCCGCTGCATGTGTGGCAGATTGGGGACAGTGCTGGGCCTAGTTGAGGAGCAGTGGGCTGGTTGGCACAGAGGGCCAGAGGCTCAGGTCCCGGGCAACGCTTGGTGCCCGGGTCTCGTCCTTGTGCTGTCAGGGCTGTGGGACCTCGGTGGACTTGGGGAGTGTGGCCAGCAGGGGGCGCAGTCCGAGCCGCTGCAGACCTGAGCAGCCGGGAAGCTCAGCTCTGAAGTGGCCTTTCTGTCTCCCATGGGCCTGCCCACCAGGTGGCACCCCCTCCAGAGCCAGGCTCCTGCCCAGGCCAGGGCTGGGCCTGCTCTGCCTTGATGGGCTTTCTCGCTAGGGGAGGGCTGTCGTGGAGTGTCTGTAGCGGTGAAACCCAGACTCAGCGGGAACGAGGCTTTTTGATGCTGTCGAGAAGAACCCAGATGCCAGTGAGCTGGACCGGGACCCAGGCTCAGGGCAGGACCCAGGCTCGGTATGAGACCTAGGCTCAGGATGGGACCCAGGCTCAGGGCAGGACCCAGGGCAGGGTAGATCCATGTCAGTAAGAGGCCCAGGGTCAAAAGGGGCTCAGGGCACAGCAGCACAGAGTGGCCATTACCATCAGGCCCTGACGGCTCACCCCCACCCCATCATCTTTACCAACCCTGACACCAAGCCTCCATCCCTACCAACCACTCTGCTCTGCCGGGCTCCATAGCCCACTGGCCATGGCCTCTCAGGATCACAGCCCAGACCTGCCCATGATGTTGGGGTGTGTTAGGGAGCCAGCAGGTGACGGTTCAGGATCAGGAAGGACTCAGGATACAGCTAGCCCGTCTTCCCAGCTGAGCGCAGGCAGGCCGCACTTGGCCTTTCCATCTGCAAAGCGCTTCAGCTCAGCCAGCGGGGCCCAGGCCCTGCTCTTGACCAGTAAGCCTTGGCCTAAAGGCTGCCAGCTGTCTCGCTCGCAGGGTGTGTACACCTGCTGGAAGCCCCCCCACGCTGTCTGAGGCCAGTCTCCCTCGTCTTGTCCCTGGGGCCCATCTCTGTGTGACAGCGCTCTCGCTGTCCCTTGCTTCCAGGAGGGTCTCACCACACAGAACCCAGACCTGAAGGACCTCCATGGATGGTAAGTAGGTCCCTGTCTCCCCTCTGAGCAGTTCGTTTCCAGCCCAGTGAGAGGGCAGAACTGACCAATCCTGGTCAAGGCTCTATTCACCTTATTTGCATGGTACCACCCCCAGAAGGCCATGCACTGTATTTGCATAGCTTGTGAACTGTCCCATCCCCTTGGTGGATCACCAGTGCCTTATTTGCATGGTCCCACCCCAGGGTGCTCCTGAGAAGCCCGATGGTGAGGCTTTGTGCCGTGATATTCCACATCAGCAGGAGGGACTGGTCCGGAATGGGGCATCATGCTTGATAAAGTAGGGGGGGCAGCGACCGAGAGGAGCCCTGTGGGGGGACAGACTGACATGGTGGCTGCCCCAACAGGCTCACACATGACCAGGGTGTGAGGACGACCGGGCAGTGAGTTGGAGACAGTTTCTCCGGGCCTCACTGCTGAATCTCTTGGTGGGAGCCAGAAGGCCATGCCCACAAAGGTCAAGTAAAAACAAGTCCCCAAAATTTAAAAGAAGGGGAAAAAGGAAAAGAAACCCCGAACAGATAGGCTGCAAAAAAACCCGAAAATGCAAAGCTGATTCCGGGAACCCAAGAGGAAAGCGAATTTTGG